TCTCTGTCTGTCTCTCTCTCTCTCACACACACACACACACACACACACACACTTAAAAATTAAAGGAAAACTGGAAGCTTGAATACAAAGACAGTTCCTTCCCCCTCCTACCTTGCCTGCCACTCTTTCTGTTTACTTTGTCTTTTCTCTGGTATTTCTGCATCATGGAGGTATTTGGGTTTTACTGCCTGGGTGATGTCATGCATTTTCCTACATCTCTGGGTCTCTCTTCTTTCTCTCACCTAGACACTTTCTGAACATTAAATCCGTATGTTGCACTTGAGGGTAAGCCTTCTCAGATTTAGTCTGTTCTTGGGAGAGTACTTTCATCCCCCACTGGGTACCAAGCCAGGTACTTGAATGGGGTCTTTCCTACCTCTTCTCCCTCACCACATGCACCGAGTCTATCATCGAATCTGTCACTGAGTCCCCTGATTTCTGCCTCTTCTGAGCTCTGCACAGGGCAGGCACCACAGGTCCTACCACTACAGTGACCACCATGTTCTTTAAACCCATAAAGCAGATCTCGCTTTAAAATCCCTCTGGTTCCTGTGAGATAAAACACCATAACCAAAAGCAATTTGGGGACAAAAGGGTTTATTTGTCTTACACTTCCATGTCACAGTCCATCACTGAGGGAAGTCAGGGCAGGGACAGAACAGAGACCTTGGAGGAAGACAGCTTCTTCTTACTGGCCTGATCTCTCCTCTCATCCTCGCTTACTCAGCCCGATTTCTCATGCCACCAGGACCATCTTCCGGGGGTGGCACTGCCCCTCCCGGGTCAATCATTCATTAATCAAGAAAATGCTCTGCAGACACGCCTGTTGGCAATCTAATGGAGGCATTTTCTCAGTGAAGATTCTTCTTCCAAATGAGTGGAAGCTATCTGGATGCTTCCACAAAAGCCTAACCAGGACAATACTCATTGCTCTTAGCCTAAGGTGTTCATCTTCAATATGGCTCTAAGACTGCATCTCAGACTTTCCTTTGTAGCCTCAGGTGTCTCTTCCTGTGTGAATCAGCCATGGGAGCATTCTTTAAGGTGGAGAATTAACTACTCCCTGGCTTCAGGATCTGGACACTTGTCCTACTCTGAAACCCCTTCCTTCCCTTCCTGCCAAGTGAGTATCTACTTCACACCTTTTCCTCAGATGGCCACTGTCCAATCCCTCACTCTAACTTGGGCTTCAAACCCTTTATGTAACTTTTCTGCACAGAACCTCCAGTGTTCGGACAGGTTCATTTCACTGGGTGACTGTATTTCTACTGTTTAGTAAGTACCATGGAGGCAGGAGGAATAAGAGGTGTCTGTCTGTCCATGCTTCAGGCCCAGACTTGGCCATAGTGGAAAGTCAATAAATACTTTCAGAATGAGTAAACTAAATAGAGAACAAAAGTTCAGAAACACATTAAAAAATGATATAACACTTAAAGCTATAGCTTAATGTGTGAAAATAAGTTTCTGTTGCTCATGTGACGACCGTTATTAGATTTGTGACTAAGCACCAGGCATGTCTACGTTCTAATCTTCAAATTGCCATGCCATTCTCACCATGCAATGTAACAGATAACAGGAAAAGTACCTCTGTCAGTGTGATAACAAGCATTTACGAATCACTTGTTTTCCTACTACCTTTGTGGATGTTTGGGATACCCATGGTTGTATGCAGTGTTCCGTCTCCATTGTGGACAGTGCACTCCTACAGCCAGCGCTTGAAGGATACTCTGGGATAAATAAAGTGGAACAATGGCGGAGGGAGGGTGACCCGAGAAGTCTTATGAAAAGGTGACGAGTGAACTAACTTGCAGAGAGAAGTGGGAGGGGCCAACCTTGAGAGACTTGGGCAGAGCTTCAGGCAAAGGGGTAACATGTATAAGGCGTGCACCAGTGTGCATATGTGAGAAACCAGGCTGTGGCTGGCCACCCAGATCCCAGGAAAGGAAGGCAAGAAGTCCAGGTTAAAGAGTTAGTGGTACATGGTTACAAGTTCTAATGTGACCCTGAGTGGCTGTACCACAAAGCCACGATCCGGATGATGTTCAGCTCCTCACAGTCTTAAGTAAGTGATGGTGAATAGTACTGATTATGTACATCACTTATAATTTAAGTATAACACCTGGACCACCCATAGAATTTATGTGATGGAGAATGGTAAATCTTTCTTAGATTACTAATGTATGGCCTTCTGAAATAATGTGCTGTTACTAATTATTTATAAACACTAATGGTCACCCTGATTTCTCATGAAAGGTGAAAAGGCTGAAGAGAGAACTCTCCCAGATGAAGCAAGAACTTCTCTATAAAGAGCAAGGCTTTGAAACGCTGCAACAGTGAGTATTAAAATACTAAAATTGACTTTACAGCAATTCAAAGCTCCCTAATAAAAAAAATAGATATACCAATTACATAAGAGATTTCTCAAAGAAACATAGAAAGTAAAAGGCTTAAAGCTCTGGGCCAAGAAGTCCAAAAGCAATCAACAAAAAAAAAAAAAAAAAAAAAAAAAAAAAATTGGAAAAAAAAATTTAAAAAAAAATCTATACACTTTGAAAAGGTCTGAACTTTTTTCTTAGTCATTGAAGATGAGCCAAAGAAACCAAAGTGAAAATTTTAACGTTGAGTCCTGGACTACTGCCAGCCTTCTCTGATTGTGGTATAGGTCTGCCTTGATGGCTTCACTGGTATGGGCCGTACCTGAGAGGCTCTGAGCTCTCCCTGGGATTCTATCTTCCTTTCTGTCAGTCCCAGAGACCATGTGGAGCTCAGTCTGACACATCTTGAGGGAGTCAGGTCATGTTAGGCTCTGCAGAGGGGCCTGCTCATCTTTTGCCACGTTCCCTGTTTTTTGCATTCCAGTTCTAAATGGGGGCAGGCCACTGGGGTGGCATTAAGATGGGCCAGGTTAAGGGGAAGTGTAGAGAAGAGAAAAGGTAGCTGGTTCTGGAAGAACCCATGCCATTTCCAGCCTGTAGAAGCTCTTGTTCTCTCTACTGATGGGGGGTTCATGCTCCCTGAACCATGTCAGGCTCCCCTGCGACATTGTCTCCCACAGTCCCCGGTCCACAGATGGAAAGGAAGAAGCCTATGGTTTTCATAATGGTTTGACCACAGAGAGCACCAAAGGTGTTATATAACAGCATCCAGATGTTTTGTACATCCTCCTGTTAGGGCACGGCTGGGTGCCATCAGCTGCAGGGTAGTATCCCTAGGGGTTTTCCTGGCCAGTTTCATGTTAGGATCGGTTTCAAGTTCTTCCCCCGCAGCTTCCTCAGCAGTGTGTTAGCAGTGCCAGGCTAACAGCAGCCACCTCTCTGGGAAGTACCCAGCTCCATTCCTTTTGCCTATAAAGTTCTAGTCTGCCTTCTGTTCTTAGGAAATCCCATGCCATTGGAGGCATTATCCCCATTAAGGTTCATGAATGTCACTGGCCTACCATGAGCTGATTGTTGTTCATGCTGAATGGTGACTTGTGTCTGTGGTGCCCACCCACTACTCGTGACCAGCACTCAGACACATGACTGTAATCTCAGACATTTGTCGTTATAATTCAGCCTTCTTGCCTCATAGAATCAGGGGGCTAAAATGCTCATTGGTCCGTTCACCCTAGTGCTTCTCAAACCTGACAGAGTAAGTGAGGAAGTCTGGAGAGACCTCCATGCCAGGTGTAATTGATGGTCTCTCAGTAAGTCTCCAGTTTAGACTTGCAGCAGCCTCAGCTGGCTGCAAACTAGAATGACCTAGATGTGTTATCTAGTAATTGTGTATCAACATAAAGCAGGGCTTTGTGGGCAAGAGGAGATCACACAGACTTTTAAAGAGTGCCACACAATATTTAGCCATATGGTAGACATTTTAAGACACATGGAATTATAAGTCGTGTCTCTCCCAGGGTTAAAGGTTAGCCAAACTTGCTGGGTTTTGGTGTGTTGATGTGACAATACTCTATTGTTTCAAAGCAGTGTGCTTGCAAACACTTTTCCTAGGAATCTAAGGCATCTTTAAGACTGTGTCGGTGACATTCCATGAGAAAACAATAGACATCTGTGCAGAAATCCGGGCTTTCTCTGGGAATGAACCAAGAACAGAAACATAGAATATCTAAGGACAGAGATCTCTCCTGTTGATGTTAGGTATAGACAAAGCAAAGCCTTTTCCTTCAGCCCTTGTCGCCATACCACTAAAACACTGAATGATAGCTAGTGGGCCCAGAGACTACGCTTTAAAAACAAACCTCACTGCTAACTCCATGGAGAAATTTGTTTGTTTATGTATTTGTTGTGGCTGTGACAGGTTTCTGTAACATTTCACTTCTTCGCCTTAGACAGAGATCTTTTTTATGAATCTTGAGTTATAATGTGATTTATCCTTGAGATTTCATTTTACTTGGCACAACAGTTTTATGCTGGGTGAACAAGTATCTTTCTGTCTGTGTTACTCGGTTCATGGCCTCAAATTTGTCTGTGCCTAACAGTAGTGTGGCTTGTGTCTCGGAGGACACCAGAACACCCTATGCTGCCTCCCCAGATGGGAAATGATAGCAGCACTTAGCAAATCAAAAGCAGGTGTGGTTCCCATGAAAATCTGGCTCTGGGGCGCATTTTCCAGAGAAAGCATGCAAGTGAAAACCTCTTTCAGATATAGAGTAAACGTTTTAAAATTAAAAAAAAAAATAGGGAAAATAAAGCTTCTTTTCATTCTAACACAGAAAAATAAAAGCATGGTACTTTATTTTAAAAGCAGAAGGTGGCTAAGCCTATGGCTCTATAATGACAGCCACCAAAAAATTAATAAGCCATCAAACCACGTTCATATTTTTATAGTCAGGTCAAAAGAGGGACATGAAAAGTGGAAGAGTAAAAGCATGGAGCTAAAAGTGGAAATGAACATTTCATGTAAAGGAGGGAGGGCTCCAAATACAGTTAAGTAAGGCAGCTGAGAAATTGCCACCCAAATGTAAAACTCGTAAATTTAAACTGGTAGTGTAGCCTTGCTTTTTATTTTTAAATGGCAAAGTGTGTTTCTGAATGAAGGGCATGTGTCACCATTACATATTGAGGGTTTTCACAGGTGGGAAGAAATCACTCTGGCTTTGGAAAGTCACTTTGACACAGTTTCTGTTTCATGAAATCCCAGTTTGTCTCCAGTTTTTGTTTGCTTGCTTTTAATTTATAAAGTGCCTTCCTTGAAAACGCCAAAACAGCGTTTGGAAACAGTGTTTCTTTTTGCTAGCGAGCCTTTTCCTGCATTAACCTGGTGGACAAAATTCCTCGAGGAGCCATAGTTTGCACTGATAAATCCCTTCCCAGATAAGTGAAATTAAGCAATATTCACAGTGCTGTTTTCATGAAGTATTCTAGATTAGTGGTCGTTAGATTCCTCAGCCAGGGTCTGAAACTTCAGAACAGTTACCCTACTAGCTGTTCTGTGTGGTTCCAGAGTTAAATTTACATAAGGTTTTTGGCCTCAGTTCTTCATTTGGAAAAAATGTCATTGGTATCTCCAAGGACCATCTCCTACCCTAAACCGTGTGTGTGTGTGTGTGTGTGTGTGTGTGTGTGTGTGTGTGTGTGTGTTTGTGTTGGTGTGTGTGGTGTGTGTATGCAATTCTGTGACTCTATTGCCTGTACTTCATTATCAAATGACCTTATAATCAAGTTTATTTTGCTAGGCTTTTAAAAGCTTAATTGCTTGTTCAGTAGCATAAAATATTCACTAAAACAGTACTTGGGGAGATGCATTATCTACAGACTGCACTTGTTTGAGTTAACCTTGTTTGGCAATGGGATTAAGATGGCATTGAGTTTTATTCAGATGCACCCTCCACACTGAAAGTACATATTAATTATTAAATGGCTTAAACCAGATGAGCGTAGAGTCCGTTTCTCCCGATTTAGTGTCTGCCATTTCTCTGGAGGGTCTGTTGATGAGTCCTAAAGTGGGCCTGATAAACTGTAGAGCTGAGGGCTGGTGGGGCAGAGGCCTTTGAGTACAACCCAAGATGTATCCATAAGGAACCCCTTAGTCACCAAAGCTGGGGAGAACGGGATGCTAACATGACCAGAAGACTCAACAATTCTTAAGAAGAAGTAGAAAATGTGGTTGAGCCCTTCCAAAACACTCTCCAAGTCCTCTAGCCTGCAGTGATAATGATTTACAGTAAGTACATCCATGGAGACACGGGACAGATTGACTCACTGAGGAGCTGTTTATTCAATACACACTGGCGGAGGAACACATCTGCCATCTGTCTTCTTCCTAAACTCGAACTCATCAAGCAAGGCAAGAAGTTTCATCTCAATTCGTAGCTCTAATAAATACTTTTTAGATATCTGACAGAAACAAGAAGCCACATAATCCAAATATTGTAAGAGATTCACTAGTACAAATAAGCATTTGTCAGGTGCTTACTAAAGACTGACCATGCTGCCAACGGTCTGCCAGGTATTGCTCGGGCGTCATGGCCGTGAACTTCATCGGCTGCTGCTGCACCTTGCCACTAGAGTGTTCATCTCTGCAAGTTTTCTTTCTTGGCGTACAGATAAGGCTGAGTGTGGTAAAGACTGGGTTTAGCCAGCATCAGGAGCAGCCAAAACTGTGTTTGTGCCCGAAAGGGGTAAAATACGATGTAGTGGATGGAGAAGTCGAGCCTGGGGGGAGAGGCATGCAGTCTGTGTGGTGTCCTCTGAGAGCCATGGTGCAAAGACATCTTCCAAGGAAGAGTCCCCGAAACCAGCATCTCTTCTGCACTTACCTTTTTAAAATTTCTTTTCCTTCATCTCCTCCTCTTTTAATAGAATTGATGAAAAGATGTCTGGAGGCCAGAGTGGGTATGAACTTAGTGAAGCCAAAGCCATCCTGACAGAACTGAAGTCTATAAGAAAAGCAATCAGCTCAGGAGAAAAAGAAAAGCAAGATCTGATGCAGGTATGTCGTGGGACATCTGTGTCTGTCTCCCTGAGGCCAGGAAGCTCTCCCTTCTCGTTCTGATCATGCCCAACCTGGATTGTTGTGGGCTCTGAGGAGCACATAGAGAACGAGTTAGTTCCCAACTTGTGGTGTCCCTTGTGAGGGCAGGGCTCACATGTCCTTTTAGACTGAGTAGATTTCGGGGGAGGTGGACCCTGGTGTCCATATGAAGAGCTTAGTGTATTGGCACACCCCTAAGCCCACTGGAAACAATAGAACCAGAAGGGAAATCAGATATTGGCTCTGACTTTCAAACCTATTTGAGCACAGCGACAAGTATTTTACATAAAAATCCAACAACACAATTAAGTTCACCTAAAGATAAGCCACTCAGAACCAATTCCACAGCGATACTCTTTTTCCTCATACTGGTAATGTGCTCTGAGTTTGTTTTCCAGTGTCTTCCATTTCATTAAAACATATTAGTCACAAGCTACCAAACTGGTTAACTATGTCATCACCACAGCTAAGGAAAAAATACTAATCTTTTCCATTTACAGAGAGAAAAACAGAAATGACTTGCCCGCGTTCACCAAAATGTTTCTTTGTTCCTTTCTATAACACATAACTTGTTGCGTCTATGTGAGTTTTATGATATGCACATATGCATGCGAATAGTATCTGTCTGTTCCTGTGAAAGGTGAAAATTAAATATTCGATGGCTGTTGTTTCCCTTCCTTCCTCCTATAGCCTGAGATGAACCAGACCACCCATCCTCCACACCTACTCTAACAAGACCACACCTCCTAATGGTGCCATTCCCTTTAAAACCACCTCAAGTATTAATATAAATGAATATTGGGTCTTGTCTAGGTGTAAAGTTGTAAATTATAGCCCTTTCCAAATAAGAAGTTGTCTTACTGTATATCTAAAAGTGAGAGATCGCATTATAAATATTCATGGTTCTTTCATTTCTGATATGTTAAGTGAGCAGTTCTGTAGTAGTCTGTTCTCTGTTGCTATAGCAAAACTCCTAAAGCTAGCAACCTTATAAGGACAGGATGCTTGTTTACCTTACAGTGTCAGAGGCTGAAAGCCCAAGATTGTGTGACCCCATTTTTCAGCCTGTAGTTAAGTCCTCATGTGGCTGGTGTCACAGTGACAAGATTGCACCTTAAGGGATGGTGTGGTGATACACTGTTTATAATTTATTAAAGCCACTGGATATCAAAATAGCAAAGCAGTCATGCTAGTTGGCCATAGAAGCCAGGCAGTGGTGGCACACACCTTTAATCCCAGGATTCAGGAGACAAAAACACCCAAGGCTACACGAGATTGAATTAGTCTAAAAAAGTAACAGAGCCCATGCCTTTAATCCCAAGACTCGTGAGAAGCATTTAAGCCAGGAACAGGTTCTCAGAGCTGGCTTTCATTCTCCAGCCACATTGAGGATGGGAAGGTATTGATTCTCCAGCCACGCTGAGAAGAGGCAGCAGTCTGAGGCTTGCTGAGAGCTCCTGGAGACTTCCTGACCAGACACCCTCTTCTGGCCTGCACACATGTGGCTCTCACACACAGACACACACAAAGCACACAAAGCTAGAGTCTAGGATCCACAGGAGAAGGAGGGCACCTGCTTCGGTACTCTCACACATTCCAGAATCACATACTTGTGAAAGTCGCAGCTTTCATCAGGACCACGCATTCCCTTTAGTGACATTATGGAAAGGGACTGCCCTCCTGTGCTTAGTCTTAGGAGGTGCTGTTTGCTTCTTGACAGAGTCTTGCCAAGCTTCAGGGGCGCTTTCATTTGGATCAGAACATGGGCAGTTCGGAGCCAGACCTGAGATCTAGTCCTGTGAACTCTCACCTCTCGCTGTCCAGACAGACTCTTGACGCTGGGTCACAGACAAACATTTCTGGAGATGTAAGTAGCCAGAGGGCATCAGCTGCCCAGTGCTGCCCTCCATGGGATGATGGGGTGGGGTGGGGTGGGATGTCGGGGGTTGGTGGTGATGGGAAGGTGGGAGATGCTGGAATAGGAGCTGAGTAGTATGCATTCAGTATCTCATCCTCCGGATTCATTTTAAAAGTCACAGCCGTGTTTTTTCTGTCTAAGCGCCAAGTGCATGCACACAGTCGGCACTTTCCTGGCTGCATTTCTTTAAGGACGCTACTGAAAAGGTAGAAATACAACCAAGTTTAACTTCTCCCTAACTCGGTTTACAGCCGTAGGAATTGGAGTCACTTCACGTGAACGTGAATAGGTACTTTTTAAGGCTAACACGAAGGGACTGGAGAATGGCTCAGCCTTTAAATAGTGTATCTTGCTCTCCCAGAGCCTCCCAGCACCCGTGCCAGGCAGCTCACAACCTCTAACAGCCAGATCTGGCCTCCCCAGACTCCCGCTCACACCATAGACTCTCACAGACACACGGATCCATGTGTGTGAACTTTTGGGTTTTGTTTTTGAAAAAGAAATTGTTTTTATAAATTTGAAGTTGAGTATTTGAGCATTATAGCTTATGTTTGAAAATATTTCCTATGGTCTGTATATCCTTATTTCCCTCTGTCCCGCGGGAACAGCAAACCAAAGTGTTTAGTTTTGTTAGGTTCCTGGTTTAATTTATGCCTCTTAGATGCATACTCTGTGAAAATGAAGCAGATGTGTGCTGACAGTAGGTTTTTACCTGTTTGAAATTAATTCCTGAGGTTCTTTGGTTTACATTGTGTGTAGTTGTGAGTTAAATAATGGAAATTTTGGCAAAGAAATCAGTTCCATTTCGTAAATTTCATTGACCTATACACTCTGAGACACCAGACACATTTGCCTGATATTTTTGTCTTGAATTTAATCTGTGGCGAGAGTGGTTCGAAAGTCTTTGTGAAGCAGATGAACCTGGGTTGAAGGATGCCTCCCCCTGCTGAGTAAGTGCCTTTTAACTGGTGCTTCCCGGTCCACAGCCATTTTCTCCAGCTTTTCAATTACTTGTGCTTCCTAGAAACAAAAGCAGTTTGCTTCATTCATTAGCAGAGTTAATTGACTTTTTTCCTTCTGTTTTTACTAGATTGGGGTGCGGAGCAGATCAAATTTAGCTGAAAAGGTCAGGCTGAGTCTCCAATATGAAGAAGCCAAAAGAAGGTGAGGGGCAGGGGCAGTCTTGCTGAGGTCGGTGGCCTCCAAGGATGGTCCTTTCAGAGTTCATCTTTGCTTTAACCTGAAAACGTTGCTTCCTGTCTTGTATCTCTCTCTCCACTCCCCCACAAAGCTGAAAAATAGAGAATTTTAATTTATTTTTTTTATTTATTGGTTTGTTTTTTTGTTTTGTTTTGTTTTTTCTTGAGACCGTTTCTCCATGTAACACTGGGTGTCCTGGAATTCACTCTGTAGATCAGGCTGCTTCAGACTCAAGAGATCCACCTGCCTTTGCCTCCCAAGCGTTGGGATTAAAGGCATGTGCCACTGTTCCCAGCTTGAATAAAGAGAATTTAATGAGAAGTATGGGGATAAAAGTTTACCCCTCGCTTCTGTTATTTAAGTTTTGAGCTTAAATAACACATCCAATTCAAAGTGAGATGGGTTGCGTCCTAGACCAACACCCTGTGCAGTGTCCCTACCCTGCACCTTTGCTGGGGACTTACCTCTGGGTGGCCCTTTGTCCCTAAGGCTCCCTACTGCTATCTAGAAGGTGCTGACAGGTCAGGGAAGGTTGAGGGACTCTCTCCATTACTTCATAAGCTCTTGTGTTCACATCTTTTTAATTCCTTGTCTCTCCTGGGTAACAGAACAAGAGACCTCAGGCTCCTAATACAGCAGGTCACCCCATTCTGAGGGTGATGGTCACTGTGATCCCATTGACTTCCTTATTTTTCTTTTTCTTTTTCTTTTTCTTTTTTTGGTTTTTCGAGACAGGGTTTCTCTGTGTAGCTTTGGAGCCTATCTTGGCACTCGCTCTGGAGACCAGGCTGGCCTCGAACTCACAGAGATCTGCCTGCCTCTGCCTCCCGAGTGCTGGGATTAAAGGTGTGCGCCACCAACACCCGGCGTCCTTATTTTTCTTTTAAGAGCTTAAAAATGCCATTGACTCTCATCATTTAGGAGACATTAAGAGAAACTGCTTTTCCACCATACAGGAGACTAAGGAATTTATCTTGTTCCCTCTCAGACCATGAGGCCCTCCCAGAGTACTGTGGCTCCTATATAAGGAGGGAACCTCAGACACTCAGATGTGTCCAGTATTACTAGAGATGACCCAGTTTTAATGTAATTGACCATAGGTCCTCAAGGTCATCTGGCTTTAACAAAGTGAAATGAATATTACTGCAGTATTTGCCTCTGTGTTTCCCAGTGTTTCAAATAGTACTTGGGTCTTCAATTTACTGAACAGAAACCAAGCTTCATTCCACAAATGATTAACCACATGACCTTGAACAAGTCCCTTGGTCATTCTGAGTGACATTTAACTCAGCTAATTTTAATGTCTTTAACTTCCCCCAACAGATTTTAAATGTCTTGAGGGTAGGAAAGCTTTTTTAATTATATTATCCCTTTCCAGGAGCAGAACTGGCGCTTGCCTTCAGTAGGTTTTGAGGGTTGATCTTTGCTATGGAGGCCCAGTGATGGGATAGCTATTCCGGGGTGGCATGTTCTAGAGTCCTCTTGCTGTCAGGGGTACAACCCTATAACAGCCAGAATTCCTCGGTTCTGCCATAAACAAAGCCCAAGATTTATGTCTGGTTTCTGAAGTCTAATGGCCATAATGCAGAACTATAGGGCGCCAGGGCTTGCAGTATGGCTCCTCTTGGATGCCACCTTGCTGCCTTTGGCTCATCTTGACCTTTCCCTCTACAGTGACCAACTGTAACAGTTAGTTACTTCTAGAGCTTATGTGACACTTCCCTTCCTAGTTCCTGGAAGTCCACTTCACTTTATCCCCGCCAGATCTGTGTGCCCATTCCAAAATAAAATCAATGTCTACCTAATCATGTGCCCTCAAGTAATTAATAGATACCTTTCTTCCCGGCACCTTGCTGGTACTCCCAACTCAATTGGCTACTTTGGTCATATCAAAACTTAGGCCATTGCTTCTTTGCCATTTGACTGCAGTGGTGTGTTACTTGGAATTGGTTTTAGGGTTTCTGGTGATACTGCCTGGAAGGTGACTCTCAAAGGTTTTTGCGTATGTGGAAAATGCATTTTCCTCCTCTCCTCCAGCTTTTGTTTTATACGCTCAATGAAGCTAATAATATCATGCTTATTTAGCAATTTGATGATTAATTTTCCATTGTACGTTGAGACAGTTGTTTATGATTTTATGTTAAAACTGAAGAACAGCTAATGTTATATATCTGGTAAGTGCTGACAGGATCTTGAAAGAGAAGTATACTGCATATGTACCCAAGATTTTGCTTTCTAACAAACCACAAGAAACCTAAGGTACACCTTTTTCTTGGAGCTGTTTTTTCCTAATAGTTTCTTCCTTTTCTTCATAGTTTCTTCCTACAAAATAGGAAAATCATCCCCTTTTCTATCTGTTTTTCTTATGTGGTGTGTGCTGCCACAGCAGCCAAAGCAATCACCCACTGGTTTATGTGGATATGCATTTAGGGATATGGATTTCTTGTGTCAGTACCAGTTGCTCCGTAGTTCTTGTGGGAAGTCCTGATAGGGGCGATTTCCCAGAGTGAGGTTTGAGAAAAGGGGTGGAGGAAGCGAGGCCTTGCTCATCGTCCTTGGTGATATTGAGATCTTAAAGAATTGGTTTTGCCATAATATGAGTTGATCAAGTCTCCTCTCCTTTCTCATTTCTTCCTTCTGTAATCCGCTACTACCTCAGTTTCTACCCAGTTCTAGAAGTCATCTTTGACTGGGGGACAGAAGTTTTCCCCAGAGGATGCTAACCTACAACCATGGCATATTGGGGCACCCTGACACATTTGTTTGTTTCCTAATGGAAGCTTCTAGCTAGCCCTGCCATGACTCCACACATATCACAGATGCCTGCCTGAGGTCCTCTACTTTAGATGCTTCTGTTCATGTGACCTGGAGTGTGTGGCTGCTGCTTGCCCTTTGGAAAGACATAGATTGCAACTGCACCCAGACATAGCCTGGGCTCATATTCCCATTTCCTGGGAGTCCTAAACTTGAATGTCTTCTATGTCTTTTAGCATGGCTAACTTGAAAATTGAACTGTCAAAGTTGGACAGTGAAGCCTGGCCCGGGGCCCTGGACATCGAGAAGGAGAAGCTGATGCTGATCAATGAGAAAGAAGAGCTTTTGAAAGAGCTGCAGTTCATCACACCACAGAAACGCACACAGGACGAGCTGGAACGCCTGGAGGCAGAGCGCCAGCGACTGGAGGAGGAGCTCATGTCCTCGAGGGGCTTGCCTAGCAGGGCTCTGGCCGAGAGGTGTGATTGTTTTCTGGGAACAGGGTGACTTGAACCTGTGGTTGTCTCTTATGGTGACATTTCCCTGGATTTGGAAATCTTAAATAACTTCTGCTGTTAGTGGACTCAGAAATAGCGCAAAACAGTTTCCTTTTTGCAGAGCAATAAAGCTCGCCCTCCTATGCCCTGGAGTATCAGTTCCTCTGTGTCTACTAGGAATGTGAAAGTGCTCATGACAGACGTCTAGTAACTAAGGAATGTTGACATAAATCAGGAATGTGGTCCATCCCTGAGCAAGTCTGTTAGCAATAGCTATAAACTGTTGCTCTGTGAGGAAGACGATCTAGACTGTTCATACAGCAAGTGAGCCTTCCTAGGTTTGTTTTTTATACTGACAAGAAATCATGTGTTTATTGCTTTTAATTTCAAAAGGAGAGGAATAGACAGCTTGCTCTCTTTGATATCTTAATCAGTCGCAAGATGTTCCTTGTATGTGGCTTGTCAGCTGAAACCCGCTTCTGAGGCAGAGGCAGTAGTCATTCTGAGCAACCTTTGGATTTTTCTGTGGGAAGGTGTGAGTTGTTTATTCTAAAATACCCAGTGCCTCAAGCAGACCGGCAGGAGTGTTAATCAGAGGACACATGTGTCCCTTGAATGTGAATACACTTGCAACAACAGCCCTGTGCCTACATAGATCTTGCTTGTTTGTCGACAAACTGTGGCCCTTCGGAACCAGTGTGCATCATAGACCAGCACAGAAGGGGCAGTGTCTGCCCTGAGTGACTCCACGTGTGTCCCTAGTGACCTGGAAATAAGTTCAGACATCCATCCAGAAGCCAGTTTCTTTTTGTTTTTTTCATCCTCTGTCTCTTGCCTTCTAATCCCTATTTCTCAATAGATGTCTAGAGCTTTAAATGTTAAAATATTTTGAAAGTATGGGAACTGTGGCGGGGAAGGGAAAACCACCCTTCCTGATTAGGTCTTAACGTGCATGTTTTAAGTTTAGCCATTTGGATGAGTCCTGGTGATGCTTCATGTGGCTGCAGCATCCTTGTATTAGGGAACATGAGCAGGTATTCCAAGGCAAACACTCTGTAGACTGCACACATTCGGCCAAATTCTCACCGTTGCCTCATCTTCACTTCTCATCCACCTTCCTTTGCCTTCTCTGTCTAGAGCTGATAGAAGAGCTAGTTCTAGAATCGAGGAAGGACGGAGGTAATAAGCACCCACAGGCACAAGAGTAAGGAGAAGGGAAGGGTGAGTGACACTGGTCTGCTTTTGTACAATTTAAATTTCCCGAAGACTCAGTAGCGGACGTAATGAAGCAGACAGCCTTTGTGGGTTCCCTGTGTATAGCACACTATACAGCACTTGCTGAATACCGTGGATCGTGTTATCTGGATGTCCCAGGGGGTTGGTTCCAGGTCCCCTCACAGATCCCCAAACCACAATCCCCCTGTACAAATCACACATGTAGTGTTAACAGAAAACGTACACATACAAGCTTTGAGTGTTTTCTAGATTACTTACAGTTCCTAACACAAAATAAATATTATGGAAATAGCTGTAATACTGTGTAGTTTACGGAACAACGATAAGGTAAAGGTCCATATGTGATCAGTACAAACTCAGGGTTTTCCACAGTTGGTTGAATCTTTGAGTAATAGAACCAGGGTTGTGAGATTCCCCACTCTCCATGCTCATCTAATGTGCTAAGTGTAAATCTCTCTTGTCCTTTGTGGCTCGTCAGTCTGGACAGGCCTCTGGTCCTCCGTTAGCTTTGTTGCTGGGAGACAGGGAATGAGTTCATCTTATCCACATTTACAGGCATGCCATGCATCTTGCTTGTCTTTTTTATTGGGGATGGTTTGTTCTTGAGTGACTTTTATACTTGGTTTGCACATACATAATGACAGTCAAATTTCTAGTGGCAGGTTGGGACTCAGCAGAAGCAGGAGCTACGTAGTACACACATAAAATCATGATAATATTTAATGAGAAGCAGCCTCGGGGTTTGTGCCATATGGGGAATAGGTAGTGCGGTCAGCTGACTTTACCTGCACAGCCCATCTATCATTGACCTGATAGTAGCAGGGAGGGGTGTGTCTATCTTCTGTTTGTGTAATATGATGATTTTCTGAGTCCTCTGGAAGTCAAGCCACTTGGCATACCAAGCAAGTGCATACAGATTTCCTTTTAGTGTCTGTGGCCAAGGGCAAATCCCACTGCTCTGCTGCAGTGCAAGGGGGGAGGGACTCAAACATTCTTTTTGATCAGCTCAGCTCCCCCATCATTGCTCACAGTTCCTTTCCACATGTCCTAAGGAGCAGAGCTTTGTGCTGCAGGAAGCGCCAGGCCCTCTGCTACCCATGCAGACAAGCACAGCAGGGCCTGACTGTTCACTCCATCACCTTTTCCTATTCCTTACCACTCATCCTTGCTTCCTACTATATATACTTATTTTTTGCTAGTTGCTTCAATCCAGCTGTCCTTGAACCTTGGCAGGTAAGAGCCCATCCCTCTACGCCACATCTCCTCAGTGGTAGAGCAGATGGTGGCCAGAAACACCCTAGGAAGGAGAATTCTGTTTCATATGGAGCGCATGGTCAACACTAGACCCTCTCTTTCTTCTTAGTGCTGACATAATCAATGAAAGCTTGCTGCTGCCTTGCCTCAAGCTTTCCTGTTTCCTATCCTGTTGTGGGTTCTTCATAACTCCAGGGCTGAACTCAAACTGTAGTCTCCAAAGTCACTAAACTTATATGGATTCTGAGGCATCCCTGTTTCTGCTGTCACTGTGTAGCAATAGCAGTGAACCCCACAGCAGTGGCAGACATCTCCCTCTAGCGGTAATAAAGCCAATCTGCACAAGCCAGAGCTGTTTATTGATCAAGAGAAGCCTCTCTCTCTAGTCCTGCACCCTTCATACTCTCACCCACAGCATTGGCATTCCGTAAGCTGTGGTTTTCTGTGGCTGACAGGTCTTTGCTGCTTCACACAAGTTCCAAGGGCTCACCAGAAATCATCAGTATGCCTGCATTACTTAAACATTTTTTGCTAAGCATCTGAAGATGACTTAAAACAAATGGACCAGGCATGTGAGTGCCATCTATTTTTATTTTTTAATGGAAGAGAGACTGCTTCACTGTATTGATGGCTTGAGTGCCATCCCAGGTGTGAGTTCAGGAGAGGTGGTGCCTCTCTCCCTCCAGGTGCTGAGGTAGAGACAGAGATGATGGCCTGATGTGTTGCCAAGGGCAGCATGAAGGGCAGTGAAGAGACAGGATGGATACAGGGTCGGGGTTACGCTTTATGAGCCTCTTTCTCCCTGAGGAAACTAGAAGCTCAGGACTGGAAAGGATCATAGAGAGCCAAGCTCAGGAAGAGGACCGTGTTCATAATTCCCGGGATAAGGAGGACCTTGTCACCTAGAGTCTGAGGAAGACTTCCAGCTGCCTTTGTCTGACAAGGCCTGATGTTTACATTAAGGGCAGAAGCTGCTGCCCTACTACGAGATTTCTGTGGCTTTTCAGGTTCCTTTATCACCCTTCAAGTGACACCAGCAAGAAGTTTGTATAGAGGAGAGAGGAAGAGCCGATGCCCTCCTTCTAGGACCTTAGTGTCATTTGGGGGAACATGTGACTGAGAACACCGATGTGGGGCCTTTGGAGATGGCCTGGAGTGTCTGTTCTGTATGCATGAGGGCTGACTTTGGAGCCATAGACCTGCATTTACGAAATTAAAAAGCCAAGCATGGCTACAAGTGTCTGCATTCCTAGTGCAAGGGTGGATCCTGGGGACTATCCAGTCCATAAGTGCCAGTGAATCCAATGTCTTAAAAGAAAAGGTAGAGACTGGAGAGGTGGCTCAGTGGTTAAGACCACTTGTTGTTCTTATAGGACATAGATGCAGTTCCCAGCACCCACATGGTGGTTCATAACTAGGTGTAACTCCAGTCCTGGGGGGCCTGGCACCCTCTTCTGACCTCCACAGGCAATGCACGCATGTGGTACACAGACATACATGCAGACAAAACAGCTATACACATAAAATAAAAAGAAAAATAAATAAGGTAAAAAAAAAGATCTTCAAAAGATACCAGACATCAACATCAGCCTCTGGTGTGTACACACGCATGCACACACTCATGCAAAAGCGCACCCACACACACACGAGAGTACACATGAACACAAAACCAAGCACCAGTAGTTGAGAGACAGCCTGCAGGAACTGGCACAGCAGCCCCTGAGCGTCATCACGGCCTTGAGAACAGAGGACATCATCCTCCATGATGTGGTATCAGAGCCCCTTAGAACATGAGGAAATTTCTTATGTGATATTTAGTTTGAAAATGTTACTTATTTCTGAAGTATTTCACCTGTTGCTAGAGACACATGTTTTGGCAGTGTTTGGGGCCTTGTGCCTTCTGATTCAGTTCATCTTTATGTTAATTTTTCTTCCTGATTGAGTTGTTTGAGCGATTTTAAAAAATAGACTGCACTTCTTAAAAATGAAGCTATAGGGCTGGAGAGATGGCTCAGAGGTTAAGAGCACTGGCTGTTCTTCCAGAGGTCCTGAGTTCAATTCCTGGCAACCACATGGTGGCTCATAACCATCTGTAATGAGATTTGGTGCCCTCCTCTGGCCTGCAGGCATGTAAGCAAACACTGTATGCATAATAAATAAATCTTTTTAAAAAATGAAGCTATAAAACTTTCAAGGAGGTATTCTAGAAAATGGCAAGAATTGCTTTTTAATTGTAACATATAATGGAAATTCTGTTGTTGACACATCAAAAGGTCTATAAAGACCTATAAATCGAGTCTTTCCCCTCATTACCCAAGATATGCATACAATTTCAAAGTGGTTGGAAATTGGGGAGACACTTCCTTTTCTCCAAAGCAATGTGGCTAATTGTGTATATCACCACCTTGCAGGGCTGTGAACAAATGTGATTGTTCTGTGGCCTGTAGACCACTTTCCCATGCCTTACTCTGCTTGATCCCTTTAACTGCCTTATCAGGTAGACACAGAAGGATCATAACAATCATTCACAGATAAGCAAGGTGAGCCCCGCTAGCCGCTGGCTTGCCAAAGGATACTGGGCTCACAAACAGCAAATCCCAGACTGGGCACCGAGTACTGCTTTTCTGGATGACGTATCAGGCCCCCTCGGCTGATGCGGTTTGTGCAGGCACTAAGCTTTTCTTTGGATGCCTGAACTATTTTGAAATGAATTTGTTTCAAGATAAAATTCTCCAGTACTCTAACTGTATGATAATCTGCTCCAGGTGATGAGGCAGGATGGAGCTAGGAAGGAGACACTCTTGGACTTCTTGCTGAAAATGTAATGGCAGGTTAGCCTATAGCAGCATCTTTCCCAACATTAAACCTCCCAGGAAATTAGCATTGGAGTGTTCATCGTTAAGTGCTGTGTAACAATAGTGCTTGCTAAACTCAGTACTTCAGGTTGGCTTTTACACTTCCTTACTATTGCTACCTAATGTTTTCCGAACAAGAAGCCAGCCTGCAGTCCCGGGCTGTGCTTAGGCTTTTGCTGTGGTCGACATTGCTGCTGTTTTCTCTGTGACTGGGGCCAGATCATTTACCAGCCTAAGAAAAGTTTACACTGTCAACATTTTAAAGTTTTCCTGGCTTTGGGACTGGACACAACCCCGCCAGCTTCATGTATCATGGCTGTAAAGCTTTGCCTCTTGTGTGTTTTCTCTTTATCAAGTTCATCCAGATGTACCCCTCTTACGCATGATTCTGGGATACTGAGGTTTTCTATTGTTTAGCTTTGGTTTCTACATTATTTGAAATTTAATTTTTTTTTTTTTATTTCTTTTTCTAGGTTGAAATTAGAGGAGAAAAGAAAAGAGCTGCTACAGAAACTTGAAGAAACTACTAAATTAACTACTTATTTGTATTCACAACTTAAAAGGTAAGCTTGTCAGGTCCTTGAAGAAAGATGCATCATAGCCTCCAGGCAGGTCCTGGCTCCTCGTTGGTTGGTTTTAGCTCTTTAAAGTACTGCTCAATTAATGTTTAAATTGCCAAATGTAGAAACAGTTTTCCCCCTATAAACTTCATATTTAAGTTTGGAATGCATTTTGAAATATCTGAAAACTTAGGAAAATAGCCTGTTTCTGCCATCGTCCCACTTTTAACCAAGCAAAATGGAAGCGATCTACTGTGAAATAGCTGCCCGTGACTTTCTTAGACCGATTAGAATATTTACTCTTTTTTTGATTGATTGATTGATTGACTCACTTTTAAAGATTATTTATTTATTTATTATGTATGCAGTGTTCTGCCTGCATGTTATGCCTGCAGACCAAAAGAGGTCATCTGATCTCATTAGGGATGGTTGTGAGCCACCATGCGGGTGCTGGGAATTGAGCTCAGGACCTCTGGAAGAGCAGCCAGTGCTCTTAACCTCTGAGCCATCTCTCTAGAATATTGAGTCTTACATATGTGAGCTCATGGGTCTGTTGTCTTATGCCTTCATATGTGCCTTTTCTTCCTAGCCACAGTAGCTACACTGACACTATCAGTCTTTCCTAGTATTTTTAAAGCATGAATTTTCTGTGGATGGCTCTGCAAGTTGACTTACAAATAGGCATTTGATTTGATTTAAACTTATGCAAAAGGTGTATCACAGTAGTTGGGGACGGTGATCTCACTATGTAGCCCTAGCTGTCCTGGAACTCACTATATAGATCATACTAGACTTGAACTCAGAGATGCACCTGTTTCTGAACCATGAGTGTTGGGATTAAAGGTGTGCCCCACTTTACCCGCCTTTATCATTGTCAAATTCTTTTTAAAAATTTAATGGTTATTTACATATTTATTTATAATTTTTTTGGAGACTGGGTCTCTCTGTGTAGCCCTGGCTGTCCTGGAGCTGACCATGTAGACTAGGCTGGCCTTGAACTCACAGGGACACCCCCCCCCCCCCCCCCCCCCCCCCACCTCTGACTCTGAAATGCTGGGATTAAAGATGTGCGCCACCACTCCTGGATGTGTGTCGTGTACTGTTTAAAAAGACCAGAATTACTTCAGTGTATGAGGAGAGCCAGGTTGCTAATATTAATGAGTGAGCAGGGGAATCATGGTTCCAACAGCAAGTTCCTCTGCCCAGGACAGAGATTTAACTCCCAGGCATCGGTGTTTCCATCCCCTTCCTGTCTGAAGGAACCAGTGCTCACTGTTGCTGTGTTTCTCGGAAAGTGCCAAATTTACAGTGTACCGTTCTTCCCCAGCCTCTCCTCCAGCACACTGTCCATGTCGTCTGGGAGCAGTCTGGGGTCCCTGACATCCAGTCGGGGCTCTCTGAACACCTCCAGCAGAGGGTCCCTCAACTCCCTCAGTTCCAGTGAACTCTACTACACCAGCCAGGGTGATTCGATGGACGCAGACTATCAGTGTAAACTGGACTTCCTTCTTCAAGAGAAGGGTGGTTACATCCCTTCTGGACCCATCACCACCATCCACGAAAATGAGGTGGTCAAGTCTCCCAGCCAGCCTGGGCAGAGTGGACTATGTGGGGTGGCAGCTGCAGCACCCAGCCACACTCCTCCATTGACTGAGGCCTCCAAGTCAGTGACGTCCCTCTCCTCCAGGTCCTCTCTTTCGTCCTTGTCCCCTCCCGGCTCTCCCCTGGTCTTGGACAGCACATTTCCGGTGTCTCCACATGACACCTCTCTGCACCAGTTCACTGTTGACTTTGAGGACTGTGGATTGAGTAGCCACTTTGCTGATATCGGCCTTGGCGAAAATCAGGTCTTGCTGGATTCAGATTCAGGAGCATCCCAGTCTCTCTTAGAGGACAAAGACCTTGATGAGTGCACGGGGCAGCTGCTATATGAAGGAACAACAGGTAAGTGTAGATCTTTGCTTCCCTCCAGCCATTTTAGGAAGGATTAGGTCACTCTTTCCACATATAAAGAAAGGTCTGAGGGGCTGGAGAGATGGCTCAGAGGTTAAGAGCTGTGGCTGCTCTTCCAGAGGTCCTGAGTCCAATTCCCAGCAGCCATCTATAATGAGATCTGGCACCCTCTTCTGGTGTGTAGGCAGAACTCTCTGTACATAATAAATAAATAAATCTTTAAAGAAAGGGTATGGTTCCCTCCTCAGGGTGTTCTTTTAAAGAGCTTATTCTTATTAAAGAGTTTATTCTATATGTAGACTTTGTTTCTCTGTCAAATAAAAATTGCCATTCCAGATAAGGGGACATCATTATAGCTCAGTGGTAGACAGCTTGCCTAGTATGTGCAAGATCCTGGGTTCAATACCCCAGTACCACAGAATGAAAACAGGTGCTGGGAAGATGGTGAAGTCTGCCAGGTATTGCGTGCAAGTACAAAGGTGGGAATTCAGATCCCTGTCTCCAATGGGAAAGCTGCTATGGCAGCTCACACCGGTGATTCCAATGCCAGGGAGGCAGAGGAGGGAGGGTTCCCAGGGTTTTCTGGGTAGACAACAGAACGTGATCTGCTGAACTCCAGGTTCAGTGAGAGACTCTGTCCCCAAAAGTAAGGTGGAGAGTTAGTGAGTAAGTGTCAACTGCTGGCCTAGCACACATGTTTACAAGCACCTGTGTACACAAATGTGTACTTGCACACACTCAGAGCATATTGCCTTCCTATATTTAATAGACTCAACCATTGGTGCCTGCTCTGTAGTACAGGGGTCCTAGTACAGGAGTGGTAGATTCCTAGGGTGTATTTTATGGGCAGACCACACTTCCACCTAGTCTCTGGTTCAGAAATAGCAAAGAGACAAGGATTTTCTTTTTTAAATTGCCTTAAAACAGATGAAAGCAAAGTCAATTAGCATACTGGCTAATTAGTGCAAAGGTTCAGTGTTTAGCTTACTTGGAGAGTTCTATATAAACAGTTTTTGGTTTATGTCAGACTCCTTTTCTGCCCCCGTTTCTTGGTGGCTGTAGTCCAGTGTCCGGAGTTGCTCTGCCATCTCCTGGCTGCTCTCCCAGCTGCAGGTCCAGGAAGAGATGGACTGCTGCTGAGTCAGGAATGAGCACGTGTTCATTAACGTTACTTTCCTCTGCATTGTGGAAGCTTGCAGTGCAGTGAGTCCTGTGTTCTGAGGATAGTCTGTTCTATAGCTAGCTTGAAGCAAGGTGGGAAGCGAACTTTCTGCTCGTACCTGGAAGTCCTGTTCAGCATGTGTCAGCGTGTCCCACATCATGCAGGAAGGACAGTCTCTGTAGAACCCTGACCTTGCCGTTTTAAGGAGTGTCTTTATGTGTGAAGACAGGTGTAGGAATTCTAAGTATTAATTGATTAGTCAATTGGGATCTTTAAAGATGTAGATGAATACAACTTGATTTGGGGGTTTCTTTTTGTTTTGTTTTGTTTTGTTTTTGGAGACAGGGTTTCTCTCTGTAGCTTTGGAGCCTATCCTGGCACTCGCTCTGGAGACCAGGGTGGCCTCGAACTCACAGAGATCCACCTGCCTCTGCCTCCCGAGTGCTGGGATTAAAGGCATGCACCACCAATGCCCAGCGATTTGGGGGTTTCTTATGCTGAATAATGAAGTGCTATGTTCTTATTCGTGGCTTGAGCAGAAGTGGAATGGATGAGACCTTCCTAGTTTGTATGCCCTCTTTCAGACACGCGCCAACATTACAGGTCCTTATGTTAAAATACCAAACCCACTCACACAGATTAGCACATGGGAGATGGAACCGTAATGGCTCCCTGCAACAGAGAGCCATGGTGGGGCCTCGAAGTGGCCTGTGGGGACAAGTACAGTGGGGCAGTCATGCATGCATTCCTTTCACTTGCCTCTTTGGCTGTTTTGGTGAGCGAGCACTGTGTCCCATCATTTAGACCCATTCCTCATCTGCACAGTCTCCCTCCTAGAATGCCAGTCCATTAATGCCATCCGAGCCTGCCTGGCACACAGACGCAGTCTGTGGTAACTGTTAGCCTGTGCGATGATGAGAGGTCATCAACACTGGTGTGCCCACTCTCTCCACACCACACTGCAGGGTGAGGGAGAGGGGAGGAAGTAGAGCAGGTTTGTGGTCGGGCCGTCCTTCTTGCTCTTGTGTCTTCTAGGGCGTGACACTTGCTGCACATGTGTCACTGAGTCTGTCCTTTATGTATTTGCAATATTTTCCAGTGAGCACTTCACAATATCTCATCAGATGGTGAACTAGTACCCAATGCCAGATGCTCAAAAAGCAGGAGGGCCCCAAAACTTCATCACGAGGACTGTCACATAATGATCCTGACACCCCCCCTCCCACCAGACATACAGGCATGGTGGCTCAACGGCTGCCAAGGTCCTAATACTTGACTTTGCTAGAAGCTTTGTTGATGACTGTGGCTGGAGACAGGTGCCTGTAGGAAGTTCCCATGAAACATTTTTGTTTGTTTGTTTGTTTTTTTGTTTAAGCTTTTTTTTGTGTTACACAACACTGTTATTAAAAAGGCACCCTAGGCCTGGCTATGGCACAATGGCAGAGTGCTCGCCTAGGACATCTGAAGTCCTGGGTTCCATTTCCAGTGCCTCAAGACAGTCACTTGGAAAAATGCACACAGGGGCTTTGTTTGCAGTTAGCTTTCAGTTTTCTGACTGAAAACAGCAGAAGGTGTGTATCTTAACCATGAAGGCTAACTGTTGAAGCCACGGGAACATCTTCCCATCCCTTAAAGGGAGGGGACCCTTGGAAGGACACTGTCTTAACATCCTAGGGCCTTCCACAGGTGAAGGCCAGTCTGTTCTCTAGACAGTCTGCTCTCGGCACCAATCCCTGCCGGCTTACAGAAACCAAGGTGGAATTAACTATGAAGTCTTCCCACAGTCAGTCTCTGTCATTGTCAAAGTCAGTTTTCAGACTGCTGCGGTTATTCCTGGGGGTAATCAATAAATCATGTCATCACCTTCACCCCTCACAAAGGGGGGTGGGCAAAGAGAAGGCACTTCATCATCAAGGGGAAAGCATTCCCACTGCCAGAAATAAAAGAGAAAATGCAGCAATCAATCCTGTAATCTGAAGCCTTAAAACTTAAACATCTTAACAGGATGTAAAGTCACGACTCAGAGGGGGGCTGCAATGCATAGCAATACTGCTCCTCTGGCTCACTCACCAGAGGATGAAAGAAACTCCGCGGGCTTGCAGCTTATTACAGTACAGAACACAGCTTTAAGTGAATGCTCCTTGCTCCCTGCAGGATGCTGGCGTATGAATATGAGTTAGAGATAAAAGTTAAGTGGTAGCTGGTGCTAAAGAGACAGCAGCACAAAAAAAAAAAAAAAAAAAAAAAAAAAAAATTTTGGGGTTTTTTTTGTTTTTGTTGTTGTTGTTTCTTTTTTCTTTTTCTTTTTTTTTTTAGTGGTATTAGCTGGTGAGAATTCATGTAAATCAAAGATGTTTTCTCTTTTATTTCTGTTAGAAGAATGACACAGGAGAAGGGAGAAAGGGGCCTTGTAAAGAGACGTGGGGAGCACTTCTCCTCTGTGGCCTTGATCAACTTCCTGGAACAGGAATAGTGCCAGTGTTTGATGGGGGCACACGGTTGCTTAGCCAGAGTTTGTAGTAGTTCATGGAAGCTTGAAGCAAAGAAGGGGGTTGAGGGGGGGGCAGGTGCGGCAGCAATGGGGAATTACTATCCCTTGCCTTAAAATATTTTAGGGCAAGTACCTGTGAGATGGGTCAGTGCATTAAGGTGTTTGCATCCAAGACTGACAGCCTGAATTCCATCCCACATGATGGAAGGAGACAGCTGTTTCTTGCAGGTTGTCCACACACACACACACACACACACACACACACACACACACACACACGAGAGAGAGAGAGAGTATTTTTTATTGTTTTTTAATTGGTGGGCAGAAGGGGCTTGAGAGCTGGCTTAGCAGTTAGGAGCTCTTGATGGTCTTACAGAGAACAGGTATCCAGTTCCCAGGACCCACATGGTGGCTCACAACTACCAGTAACTCCTGACCTGGGGATCCATCGCCATCTTCTGGCGTCCCTGGGTACTGCATGCACATGGTGCATTTCTATAAATGTAGGCAAAACATTCAATACATTTAAATATTTTTAAGTTGTTTTAGACAAAAGCAAAAACAGTTTTTTTCTAAGTAATCAAATCCCAGAGCCTCTGAATCCCGGGATCTTCTGTCACCCCCACCTGTTAACGTGGGGGGAGGGGAGCTAGCATTCTTGAATTTAAGAAGGAAATTGTACTTTGGGCTTCTATAGTGTACTTTACACTTTTCTCAATAAGAAACTAATGATGCTATCACTTTCTCCACCTTAGATGTGGAAAAGTCATTACCCAAAAGAGGAGGAATCCACCTGCGTGGAGACAAAATTGCGTGTGTGTCAGCTGCTGCCTCCGATGAGTCTGTGGCTGGAGACAGTGGGGTCTACGAAGCTTCCATGAAACAGTAAGGAACCTGCATGGCACACTCAGTTCCCTGCATGCCGGCCAGCCAGGCTCATGCATACTGTAAGGTGCAGTGGTCCCCTGCATGCCTACCAGCCAGGCTCATGCATACTGTAAGGTGCAGTGGTCCCCCACCAGAAACATTCTGCCAGCTGTGGAAATGACAAGCAGGTGGATGTACTCAAGGCAGCTGTTCTGCGATTTCAGACACTGATATTTCTGGGAATTTTGGTGATCAGCCAATGCTTATTTGACACACGTTTAGATGTCTGAAAAAGCCCCCGAGATAGTGGGATAACCCCATGGGGCTCAGGAAAGCCAGACGACACAAAGTTTGTTCCCTAAGCTCAAAGTCAGACTCTTGATGGAATTGAAGAACCCTGAATCAGTAGCTCCCACAGGGGTCGGTTCCACAGTAGTGGGATGGAAAGGCTGCTAATTCAGTTTCCCTTCAAAATGAGTGAAGGCAAAGAGTAGCTGTAACAACCAGTCTCCCTGTTAACTGACTGTCCACCTGCTCCTGCCTAGGCCTGGCGAAATGGAGGACGCTACCTATAGTGAAGAGGACGTCACCGTTGTGGAGACTGCCCAGGTGCAGATAGGACTCAGGTAAGCCAGTGAGGGTGAGGGAGGTGCCTGGCCAGTGGCTTTGGGTACACCGCTTGATTCATTGTCTCTTTTGACAGATATGATACAAAAAGTTCAAGTTTCATGGTGATTATAGCACAACTCCGAAATCTTCATGCCTTCTTGATACCTCATTCTTCAAAAGTGTAAGTAACGTCCATAGAAAACAAACAAACAAATATCAAATTAAGGAGCTGAAAATTTTCTGTCTACAATAATTCCGAGTATGATCAAACAATTCATCAGAAAGAAGATTTGGGGGTGGGGGTGAGCAGCTCAAGAGTCGGCTTAGTGGGTTCTTGTTGCTGAGTTCTTTTTTTTTTTTTTTTTTTTTTTTTTTTTTTGGGGGAGGGTTTTTTTTTTTTTTTTTTTTTTTTTTTTTTTTTTGTACTCTGGGTAATAGAAAGATTAGACCAGGCTGGCCTCGAACTCACCGAGGAGCCACATGCCTCCTGAGTGCTAGGATTAAAGGTGTGCACCACCAGTGCCCGGCATTGTTGCTGAGTTCTTGATGTTCTTCCAGGGGCCCAAAGTTGTTTTCCTGGCACCCACATTGGACAGTGCCCAATCGCCTGTAACTACAGTTCCAGGGGGTTGATTCCCTCTTCTGACCTCTGCAGATACCTGCACAGGGATACACACAGATACACATAGTTAAAAACAAAACAGGTCATGATTTAAAAATGAAGAGATGGGGAGAAATTGTCAGGCTGCTTATATCTGAAGCAACAGTAGGTAAAGATGAAGGGAGAAGTTGAAGAAAAGAAGACTGGGATTAGGTCGTTATTCAGATGCTATTATTAAGCTTAGGACTTTATATATAGTTCCTTTCTTACAGAGGATGTGTAAAGAATGAAGTCAAGTAATTACTATGCCATTTATTAAGAAGTAAAAATCTGTGCACAGTTATCACAGAACAGAATGGAGATTCCTAACTGGGTCACCAGCTGCTACGCCACCACTGCTGCTTCCTGGTTCCAAAAGGACACATGCATGCCTCTGCTCCACCTTATCTTCTGGTCACATCCTTCCCAATTAAAATTCCACCCTTTGGACTAAACCATTCCTTTCCATTGGTTAGCAGACCGGTGACAGAATTCCCGTATCAGTTGTGTTGGGTCCTGATTGCTGGAAATATGATTTTAATTTTTATTATTGCATAGCAGTTACTACTATTGGTTTGGAGGACTTTTTCTGATATCATACATGACTATGCAGTGATTACATGTAGCCTTGCCACAGAAACATTTTATGCTACATGAAAGAGCATGCTTTCACATGCTTCCAGTGACTGGTGATGTCTCAGTTGCAGTTAATCACTGAATTAGAACAAGAATCCCAACAAAGTGTTGGTGTAATTCTCCTCTGCCCTTTGCCTGGGAGCTGTTTCCTAAGAGAGCTGTTTGCTCATCTCTTTGCCACCAGTGTCTGTGTCCCCCCCCCCCCCAAGCTGGTATCAGTGACTCTCTAAGAAGGCACAGATACTTGTCTACTTGGTCTGAACTTTCCTGGGAGGTAGCAGCATTTCTAAAACCATATAGAAAACTGGATAATGACACGCCAAAAGAGTCAACCATATACAATACTCTAAAATGTTTGTTAGTTCCAACACTTTGAGGGTGGTTGTTCTTTGTTGAGCTTTAGTTTTCCTTTCTTTTTTTTTTTTTTTTTACATTTAAACTTCATTATTTAAAAGTTACCAATAAAAAAAAAAAAATCACCAATCAAGATTTACCAGACCCAAAGGCTGCATAACTCCAGGAACCTGCATGCAGTTAGAGAAACCATTCAGAAAAGAAGCTAGGGACTTCACACTGGGCTTTTTGCTTTCCATATCGAATATATTTTTATGCCCTTAGCCACCAACCAAAATGAAAACTCCATAGCAGAGTTAGGACTTATCTGTCCTCTATCCTGAGTCATGGTCCTTGCCTGCATGGAGTCCTTCCCCTTCCCTTAACATTTGTAACTTCTACCTGTCATTTGTTTGCATATATACATATAGTATTGCTTAGATTCTGCATCTGACCTCACATCCATTTTCCTGCAAGTTTTGTGATTTAATTTTTCTTTAGAGCGGAATAGTTAATCCTAGTTTTTATCAGCACATGGATGGATAATAAAAACATGGCATACATATGCCTATGTACATGTATGTACTATCATCTCAAAAGAAAAATGATTTTAGTTTTTTGAGGCAAGATCTCATATATTTCAAGCTGGCCTCAAACACCTGATCCTCCTGTGTCTACCTCCCAAATGCTGGGATTAAGGCCATGGGCCACCATGCCTGACTCTAAACTTCATTTTACTACTAATTAGGACAAGTTAATGTTGGCGTTCAGCTGAAAGCTTGCCTAGCTCTGGTTGGCAAGTGCCCTTATCTGAAGTTTCTTTACCTTCCATCCTCCTCCTCCTCCTCCTCCTCCTCCATGTTTGTTTGTTTGTTTATGTCTGGGGTGTTTTGCCTGCATATATGTCTGTGTGTGTCTGTGTACCACAGGCGTACCGCATACACCCAGAGGCCAGAAGAGGGCATTGGATCCCTGGAACTGGAGTCACAGATGGTTGTGAGCTGCCATGTGGGTGCTAGGAACCAAACTGAGGTCCTGAGGAAAGCAGTTAGTGTTCTTCATCACTGAGGCATCTCTCCAACCCCTGCCTTCACTTCTGAACCTCATCAACTCAGCTCTATTTGATGCGGAAACATCTTGAGATGAGCCAAACAGTTAGATCGTGGGTATAGAATAGCTGAAACCTGGAGGCTGAAGGAACAGACGTCCCTTCCTTCCCTTTCCTGCTCTGACCTGAAGGCAGAGGGGATATAAGACCCCTTCTCCTGAGCTCCAGTCCCTCTCAGGGAGCCGAAACCTTCATCAGCCAGCACTGGAGCTTTAGTGCTGAATCTTTGTAACCAATGTTGATATAAAATGAAAAATAATGGGACATTTTTAGTTATGGGTTTGAATTTACAGATTTCCTAACTAGGGACAAAAAAAGGCATATTTTAGAATCTCAATTAGACAAGAATGGGAATGGGAAGTGGGGAGATTTAGTGGATTTCTCTTTGTGAATTAGGAGGAAACTACCTCAGGCTGCTTCCAGGGACCATGAGTCTTCATAGATTGTCAGATAAACTCTCCAAGGAGCAGGGGCACCCTGGGAGTCACTGCTGCTTCACACTTGCCTTTGCATTTACACAGCATGAGACCCTTCTGCGAGTTGTCTCATCTGTGCCTTCGGAGATGCTAGACAATGATATTTTGGAACTGCTGCTTCATCTGTTTTCCATCTTGTTAACAATATGCTCCTTAGCCTTTCTTTGTCTCTGGTAGGGTAATATATTCCGCTCCTAGGCTTGTTCGTCAACAATCTCTTGTTTGATGTTCGGGATGAGGGTTCTTGGAGAGAAAAACACCACTGCCCACATTAGCGTGTCCCCGCCTTCCCCGGCTCAGAAACAACTTACTTTCGAGTTGATGTGGTGGGGAGGATCCCCACAGCCTACGCTGCAGTCCAGTGGCGGCGGCAGCCTGGAGTTTTCCTGTTTAGAGGCCCAGTGGGCATGGGTGGGTTAAGAACAGTGGCTGCAGCTGCGCATGGGCCGGTTGTGGCAGAGGCACTTCCTTCTGACAATGCACTCCATGTTTCCTTGATTTCTCTCTTTTGCAGCTAATTGCAAGTGATAGCTGCGGATCCATTGCAATTGGAGTCCCCGTGAGATTCATTCTGTTCTTGCTCTTCGCAGGTATTTTAGGGTTGCTGTGCTTCCCTCCTCGGCAGATGTTAGCTGTCTATTTCGAACAAAAGTCCATCCGCCCACGGAATCTGTGCTGTACAATGATGTGTCCAGGATGGCCATTTCTCAGGCAGCCCTGCAGCAGAAGACCCTGAGAGTCGATCTTTGCTGTGTCAGTAAACACCACAGGGAAGAATGCCTGGTAGGCGCCTTCATAATCGCTCTCAACACACACTGTGGTCCCTATTCTGCAAAGCTGTTTTCTTCTTACTGATTTGCCAGCAATGGCCACTGCTTTTTTTGTTTGTTTGTTTATTTGGGTATGGGTGTGTTCGTGTGCCAAGGCATGTGAGGGTGAAAAGGTAACTTGGGGGATTAGTTCCCTGCTGTCTCCATGTAGGTTCTGAGGATAAAGCACAAGTCACCTGGCTTGGTGGCCAGCACCTTTACCTGCTGAACCATCTCACTGGCCGTTTGTCTTTTTTTTCTAGAATGTTTTGCCTCTCATTTTGGATTTTGAAATCTGCTTATAAATGACAATGTTCTGTAAAGCTTGACTTTCCAGTCCTATTCTTTGAGAATAGAAGAGCTTTTGGCTCTGCTGTGATTAGCTCTGTGGAGGGTGCTTTCAGTTCCCGAGGCTAAGGGGTCTGTGGAGGGCTTTCCATACTCAGCCCCTAAAATCTGTAACAATGTAGTGGAAGTTGGATGATAGAAAATTTGATTCCCTGGGTTAGAGAGATGGCTCAGAGGTTAAGAGCACTGGCTGATCTTCCAGAGGTCCTGAGTTCATTTCTTAGCAACCACATGGTGACTCACAACCATCCCTACTGAGATCTGGCGCCCTCTTCTATCGAGCAGGCAAATCATTCAGATAGTACACTGTCTGCATAATAAAAATTTTTAAAGAAAATTTGATTCCCTCCATTTTGGGGTAAACAATTGCCCAAAGTGGGGTGTGTTCATAGCAGATGATGGAACTGAGTACTAAAAATCATCCCATTTATTGACTCAAACTGAAATTAAGCAAGACACTAAGTATATGGTTCCTGTACTCAGCCCATCTGCCTTTCCATTATATTAGAGCATCTAGACAGAGTTATTACTGTTTGGAACAAAGTGATTAAATGTGATGAGTGACAGAAAGTTTTCATAATTAACTAACCATGGGTTTAGGGTGCTGTCATGCACAGTTAGGCCGTCGTCTCCCTCTAAGTATCCTGCTCAGATGCAGGCATCCAGACAGGAGCCCACATGGTCAAAAATAGTCATTTCTCTATGGTCCAGTAGGAGATGAACACACATATTTAATGATGACCACGGGGGGGGGGGGGGGAGGGGGGCAGTTTTTCTCTTTTTTTTAGGGGGGGGGGGGGGGGGGGGGGGGGGGGGGGGGGGGGGG